TACATAAATAAATATAAAATGTAATGAATTAATAAAAACTAAATAATTAAAAATAAATAATGAAATAAATAAAGCTATGCAAAAATAAATTCAATATTAAATATAATTAAAAAAAAAGTTATAAATTATTTTTAAACTAATTATCAAGTCATTTATTATTTTATTTTATTAAATATTAAAAGAAATATTTATCCAGAACAACTTCTATTATTTTCATTCCATCATAGTCCAGGATAAGTCACGGTGCCATGCATATTTTACTAGGCTACTTGCAATGCTACGGGGATGAAAAATTAACAGAAGGGGAGATTTAAAAAGCAGAGGCTTGGAAATCCCCCCATCCCAGCAAATCGCATGCATATGTCACATGCTTAAGTGCATGATGTGATATAAGCATTTGCTTCTTTACAAAAAAGAAATGTATCATGTTGGTAGTTATAAGTTAGTTTTTTTTTTATAATCACCTTTGTGCTTTTTGTCATTAATTTCAAAATTGCTTAAAAAGCATACAGCTACAGGTGCATCTCAATAAATTAGAATGTCATGGAAAAGTTCATTTATTTCAGTAATTCAACTATGATTATAACAAGAATTTCCAACAAGCCTGAAAAAGCTTGATTCAGACAGATCATGCAGACTTTCCCAATGTAAACAAAGCTGTAAAAACCTGTGACTCTTTTTGACTTCTGTTTGAATAATAAATATCTGTTCAAGGGTACCGCTACACAGAGGAACCCCCATTCACCCTACAAACTCACCCGATGTCAATGAGTGGGGGCTTCCCACGACCCCTCTTGTAACACAGGAAGAGTTCTGGGCTCTTGAGGCTGCCATGGTTGAGATTGGCTGGCTGGCCACTGTAGGTACTCTCAATGCATGTGAAACCTTCAGGCACAGTTTCTCCTGCAGACTTGTTGATGACGGCAAGGTCTGTGATGGGTGCCTTGGGCCCACTGGACTTGGTTTCAGATAGATCCTGCTCTAGTGGTGTGGACTTGTCTGTTAGGCCAGCCACAACAAAGTAGTCTGTCACACGGTGACCCTTATCCTCAATCATGGCTGGACGGACCTGTTTGGAGAGAAGGAACTGTTGATTTTATGTTTTTATAGGTTTCAAACCATATCTGTATGCTTTTTAAAATATTTTTACTTTTCTTTTTCTTGGACACTCTTATTTGTCATTCACCCAATTACAAACATTCACTAAATGTATAATTTATATTTTTATAGCATACACTGCCATACCATGCATTTGGTATTACCAAAGTGCATCAACTATCAAGAAATCTGAAAATACACAACACATTCTAAGCTGAGCAGATGCCAACAAATAATAACCAAAACTGTAGCTGATCACAGCATCCTGGCTGAGGTCATAATGACCGAATGGTGCAGGATGGGGACCACTGACAGTTGAACATTCAGTTTTTGTAATACTGCCACCAAAGACATTGAAACACTGAAAACACAGACCGAGGTGAGAAGCACAGAGAACTGCAAAAGCACATGGAATGTGCATTCTGTGTGAATAGCACCTCACAATATGTTCTACTTGCGTTCCTTCATCGAGTGCGTCACACGTGAGCGGTTCATCACAGGTGTCTTTGTGCGTTCAGATCATTCTTTTCTCTTAACTGTTATCAGTAGCATATGGTCAATGTGTCTAATTCTAACATTTGGTAATATTTCTATTGAAAATTGTGATTCGTTGATTTATGAAAAAATAGGCCTAAATTGTGGCAAAATACTAAATTCAAATAAATAAAATCGGAAAAATCGCCCAGTCATACTTGCCATAAACAAAAGCACAATGCAGAAGTCAAGGCCTTTTGATTAAGTAAATGGCACAGGATAGTGTTTTCACAATAATGAAATAAATCACAATACATATATTATTGCAGTAAATAAGGCTGGAATGACCCCAAATTTAATATGACATTGAATTTCACAATTCTTGATACCAATCTCTATAGACTATAGCAAAAACAAATACTAGCCTAATTAATGTAAGCAAAAAGTTATCAAAGTTACAGAAAAAGATATGTCAGAATATTACACGAGTCCCAAATATTCTTATTTTGTGTGTTATTGAGCTTGAATGGTTTAAAGGGGTCATATGATGCTGCTAAAAAGAACATTATTTTGTGTATTTGGTGTAATGAAATGTGTTTATGCGGTTTAAAGTTAGAAAGCTAAAAAAGGGCAAGGCTAAAAAATGCATAAAAATTGACTTTCATGGTAATGCAGCACTGCAACATAATGTGAGCATAACTGCAAGAGATGGTTGGCAAAATTTCCATTGGTTTGATGTGTCTACCGGTATATTACCCAACCCTAGTATATATACACTGTGCGTTTCAGAACTCTATACTTCCTAGTTAGTTCTAAAACAGCTTTTATTGAAACCAAGCTGCCAAAATGACCCGTTGTCTACTTCCTCTTCATTACATAACAGAGATGAATATATCAGCACAAGACTGTCAGCACAGACACTGATCAACCTCTTTGTCTCTTTGGCCCACCAATTGGTGCATGTTAGGGAATGGAAAGATATTACAACAGGATCAAATGGAATAAAAATTGATTTAGATGCCTGCTAAGGTTTCCAAAAGGTGTGTGCCTCTAAGAACATTGTCTCTGCATACCTTCTGAAGCATTCAAACATTTGTGAGGTGGTTGTTATTTCCAACAAAGTGCCTAATCACGTCAGTTAGAGCATAATTATTTATTTCACAATTGGACACAAGCAAACTTACTTTTAACGAATAATGGACATGACCATAATGACGCAACGCATAAGTGACCATTTTAATTCTAAAGCCTGAATTGTGATAAATTCTTGTTTTGATATGTAAAGATTCATGTATAGAATCAAAATCATTTATTTATTTTTATGCACTGCTAAATCAAGCCAAAGACTGAATGGTATGCTTTACATTGTTCCTTTTAGTTTAACCCTTTAAGCCGGTCATTTTTGCCTCACTGAAGTTTATGTTTTTTCTGAGTGACATACACAAAAATAATGACTGATAGCACTGTAGCAAGGAGAGTCAAAAGGTTGGTATCGTTTTATAGAAAACTTTCTGTACTTTCAGTGGAATTTTTTTTTTTCATTTGGACATTCTCCTGCTGAGAATTAGCTGATAAAAATGTAAGAAAAATTTGAGTGCTCAAGAGAAATTTTTCATATCTGTCTTATTTGACATTCAATATCTCAGGAGGTAGGAGGTAAATTCTTTTTTGATGATGTTTCCCAGCATGTTAGCTGTGTCTGTTTCAAATTTTGGCCTTTTTGTTTAGCTCTTGACTCCCTGAAGGAATTTTAAAACCCGTTGTTTTCTGAGTGCCATACACAAAATTAGTGACTCATAACTCCAAGACCGTATCATGGAGAGTCAAAAGGTAGGTATCGTTTGATATAAATCATTCTATATTTTTAGGGGGAAAAAAATCTTTGCATTTGAATATTCTAATGTTGAGAAATAGGTGATAAAATGTAAGAAAAATTTGTGTGGTCAAGGGAAATGTTTCATATCATTCTTATTTGAATTATTTATTAAAGAAATAAGATATTTCTTATAAATATTAAATAAAATATTTTTTGGTGATGTTCCCCAACATGTGTGCTGTATGTTAATAATTTTTTTGGTGATATCATGAAGTAATCAAAAGTTACAGCATTTGGAACCAAGGTAGCCCTTCTCTTAGCCCTTTACAGTTTTGAAATTGTTTTGAATTTGAAGTAATGCCTCACTCAAGTTTAGTCAAAACCCCAAACAATTATACTTGCTTTATTCTACTCGATGAGACCTTTCAAATGACATATGACACATGACTATCTGAGCTGTATGATGTTTCTGACAGAGTACATGGCACAAAAAAACATTTTTCATAAATTATGAAAAAAAAAATCTCAGATTTATCCGCAAATAACTCAGCACTACTTATGAGTTAATCAAAGTGGCCACATGTAAAGGTCAGACTCCAAGCTTTCAAATGACACCTATTTTGGCTCTGTCCCAAATGGCACCCTAAACCCTCATGGTCTTCCTCTGAGTCCACACTTTCGTGACGTTATGCCGCTTTGACTGTCGGGTAGAAGTCGGCTGCGTAGCTCGCAGGCTTGTGGGCTCAGCAGAAGTGCGCATCGAGGGCACATAGTGGCCGGAAAGGGGGCACTCGCGAGCACCCTTCTGAAAACTAAAATGACAAATGGGACACCCTACAGTCTCGTGGACTTAACGGACACACGCACGCAGCGGCCATTGTAAGTCCTCAAGACCGAAAGTGCACATGAAGTGTGCCATTTGGGACAGGGCCTTTGTGTTGATCAAGGCATTGATTTTGAAAAATATGATTATTATTTTTTTCTTCGCTAGGGGGCTCCGGTTTTTAGGTACACTCCGGTTTAGAGGAACTGGGCAGCACTGGTTAGGAGTTGATCAAAATGGTTGGATGCATTCGAAAGCTGAATTTCTAAGCATTAAAATTATGACCTAATTATTTTTTTTAAAGTTATATAAAAGATAAAATAGACAGAAACATTCTAGGTTTTACATTCTGCTTGCCAAGTGTTCAATGGAGCTCTCAAACTGATTTCTTCAATTCATGGGTTTAGGTATTATTTACACACGTAAGACACAATGGATTGTTTTGATTTTGGACTAATTTCAATTGTGAGAATCAGCTGTAAATAAAGATATGCCATTTTCCACGATCGGAGCATGTTTCATGAAAAGCGTAAAAAACCATGAGAATATTAGTCAAGTCAAGTCAAGTCAAGTCTGCTTTATTGTCAATTCTTCCACATGTACAGCACATACACACAGAGAATTGAAATTGCGTTACTCTCAGACCCTTGGTGCATACAGATAACACTAACAGTAGAACATAAATACAGATATACAGATTAAGTATAAAATACAACTATACAAATATACAAATAAGGTAAAATGTAAAAAAAAATATAAAAAAAAATATATAAAGCAGCACACGTTCGCATTTGGAGTTTGTGTGTTATAATTCGATGACAAATATCTTTAGATCTCAAAGAGATTGTGGTATGATTGGGCTCATTTTAATCAAGAGAATTTTCGGAAATAATGTCGTGCCATTTTCCATGATCTATGCATGTTTCATGAAGTTAAGAATGAAAACGTAACCTATATATTTTTTTATTTAATGGTTTCCTAGTGAAGTGTCATTTAAGCACATTGCAAAATTTTCCACCAATTTACAGTCTGGACAAGTTGACATTAGTTGCCAAAGGTCAGAGCCAGTCTGCAGATTTGAGTTGACATATCTAATAGAAAATCACGTAGTGTATGATGGTCACAGACTCCGAAATTTTAGCTTCAGACTTTGATTCCATCCAGTCAGAGGAGATCAAACATGTTTGATATTTTCAGCTGATTTTAGAACATATATTGTTTTCATTTGTCATGTGTCTCCTAGCAACAATGCACGTTTCTGTGTGAGTTTATTGTGATCGGAATGAATTTAAAGTCTGCTAAAGTCGTTTAGTGTATGATGGCCATTTTTCCTTTGTGACTATTTACAAAGTCTGTAAGTGTGTGTTGCCTGGTGTTTTAAAAATCTGTTCAAATTTTAAAAGTCATGTAGTGTATTCCAGCCTTTAGTTGCTTTTTTCCTGGACAGATATGACATTTTCATCTTAAATCTGTGAAAATAAGTTATTAATCATTTTATAAAGATTAACAAAGTTACAACTATCAGTTAATATTTAAAGTCTGTTTATGAAGTATTTACATAGATGTTCAATGTGGAAGAGCTTAAAGAGAGCACACTGAGCTTAATTGGAGCAGCAACACTTTTTTATAAATTTCATGTAATATTTATTAAAATGACAAGATTTAGCAAAATAAATAATCTAAGTCATGTATTAAGTTCATACATAACTATTATTAACAATATCTATTAGTCCAGGTGATATGTGCAAAATTTGAGGTGATATGTTTGTTCACTTTTTCATAAAAGCATGAAACTTGGTACAATTGTACAGGTTAGGGCCCTGAACATTTTCAGAAATGGAGCCATTGCAAAAAACCCTCGTGGTTGCCATGGGGACCATTATATTTTCAGCCATAACCAAATTATGTATTTTGTATCATATCTCCTGAACTAAACATGATAACACAGAAAAGATGTCTATGAATGTGTTCTGGCCACATGACTGGGTGCTCAAATGAATGCAAGGGATTCAAATATCAGTCCGTTTATTCTAAACAAGCGCAAGCAGCTATTAAAGATATTAATGCAAAAAAAACGCGGGCATTTTTTCCTCTGGTGATTTGTAGACTATTTGTTGTCATTCGGATTAGATAATGTCTCATGTAAACAGTCCACCGAATCTTTCAATCGGAATGATTTTAATCGGAATGACAAAAAAAAGTGTACATGTAAACGTGGTATGAATGCAAGCAAGAATAAGATTTGAGAGGTGCAGTGAATGGGAAGATTTTTGTGAATAACATCTTAAAATTTAGTTAAATTATTTGATAAAATATTCCTCTAATCAAAATACTACAAACTATGTACCCTGTTACAGATTCTTGTGATCATCCCCACAGTAACTCCTCCCAGAACAAAAGGAGCGAGTGCTTTGTGCTGGAGAGATGCTTCTCTGGCTGCAGGACAGAGGCAGAGGGGTGGACAGATGCCTGGTAGCTTTGTGTCATGCACAGGCTTTCACTTGCCTGAGCCAAGAATAGGCCCCAGAATGAAACGGCTCGATTGAGAATGGCTAGGCCTAAGGGGAATGGCACAAAAAAACAACGCACAATGCAACAGCACTACAACCATTAGCAGCGGTAATGAGGATGTCATAGACAGAATGTACAAACTTGTCGGAATAGAAAACACAAAAGAAATCACAGGACAAAGAGACATTTAGAAAAGTTCTGCAATAAATTAAGTGTCCTATGAGAATTATAAATATAAAGTGAAACACAAATATAAAAACAAACACAAAAAATATACATTTACAATATTTGTATATTGCTCATGGTTCAAAAGATAATAAGCAATGTTAAAAAAAAAAAAAAAGCACATTACAGACAGATAAGAAATGTAGTTATTAATATTAAAGGTGGGGTATGTATTTTTTCAAAACGCTTTAGAAAACTGAGTCGGGCCGAGTACCAAAACAAACTATGTATGACCCGTGTAAATATCAGATCAGCTTTCCAGCGCTGGAGAGAACTCAAGATGCGGGGAGGCCTGCGATCGGATGCCGAGGTTGCTTTGTTTCTTTTCGATAGGTGAGTAACATTGGTTTTGCTTTGTTTCACAGAACTAATATATGCTGTTAAAACACATAGGCCTATATGCACGTTAAAACACACAGTACTACCAAAACACATTCGACCTGTATTACCATAGTAACACACATTGCTTTCACTTATTGATGACATCATACCCTCGGCCGGCTGTCACAGCAGATTCCACCATAATCGTTGGGTACGTATGTGTGGGGCGGAGCTATCAAAATAGGGGCGAGACCCTTTTGGGGTAGGGACGTGTTTGTTTTGGCGATTTGAAATATCAACACCGGCTACCAGAAATCACTTACCCCACCTTTAACATGGTGATTGAACCTCTAAATATCAAACACAGCAGCAGTGTTCACAGCCAACAGCATCAGTTGTAAACAGTGAGTGAATAGCAAGCTGTCAAAGATCATTTATCTGCAAACTGATAAAAAGCTGCAATAAAAATGGCATGTAATGAGGTACTATTTTTTACACTTTCTGACCAATAGGTGGTGAGTGTGTCTTGATAAATACAGATTTACAGTTTCATATCAATAAAATAAAGCACTGCTGAAATACAGCCTCAGAAGCATTTTGGCATCTCGCCATGATATCTGTTGGTGCGTAATACAAGAACGATCAGCGATATCAAAATGTTTTCATAACTTTTGATAAGCATGAAGATTATCCTAACCAAATTGGGTGAATATTCAATGAACATTGTATAAGGAGTTTGAAAAAGTATTATCCAAAATGAGTCTGATGTCTGATAGCGTACTAAACCGTAAACGTCACTTATTCTAAATTACTTTAAAACACAAATAGAACAAAATATATAACTTGAATTAAGAAAATAAACAAGGTAACTGTGTAGGGCAAGCAAGCTACTGCCAATCCAACCCAATCTTTTTACCAATTTTTTATGAAATGTTTTTGGCCACTTCCTTAGCTGGTCAGGCTGGTTTTAGCTGGTCAGGCTTGGAGACCAGCTGGAACAACCAGCTAAAACCAGCTTGACCAGCCTGGCCAGAAGGCAGGCAGAATAACATAAGTGGACTTTGAACGATTAATTGCCGCTTTGAACGATTGCGTAATTGTGGCATCCATAATTGTAATTGCGATTAGAAATTCGATTCATTGTGCAGCCCTACTGTAATCCATGTTCAGTTAATTGCAGTAACTTCAACCACTGCTCCGGGTGTGTGTTCATGGTGTGTGTGTGTTCACTGCTGTGTGTGTGCACTTTAGATGGGATAAATGCAGAGCACTAATTCCGAGTATGGATCACCATACTTGGCCACGTCACGCCACTTCACTTCACTTCATAGTTGCATTTCGGTTCCATATTTAATACTTAATATTTAATACTTAATATAGCATGCCGCGACAGACAGGTTAGAAGAAGAATTGTTAGATAAAGTTGTTATTTTTGTTTTCTTTGCGCACAAAACGTATTCTCATAGCTTCATAAAATTATGGTTGAACCACTGATGTCACATGGACTATTTTACAGATGTCCTTGCTACATTTCGGTGCCTTGATCTTGGTAGTGTCCTTGCTGGCTATGGAGGGTCAGTAAGCTCTCTGATTTCATCAAATATCTTAATTTGTGTTCCGAAGATGAGCGAAGGTCTTGCGAGTTTGGAATGACATGAGGGTTAATTTTCATTTTTGGGTGAACGATCCCTTTAAAAAATGTATGAATCCAATGTTTTACTAAAGTGACACTGTTCAACAGCAACACCAAGGGTTAAAGTTACAGCCAGCGGCAGCATCTCTCGTGCCTCCCCTGAACACAGTGAGTTTAAACAAACCCCTTAAAGCACACTGTTGCCAAATATTTTCATTGGAAAGTAGCTGATGTCTGCTCGAAATGTTGCAAAATGTCACTAGATGATGTCATATGCACGGCATAAAATGCGCAATGAATAAAAACATCAGCGTTTTGTCCGGTACTGTGTGTATTCTCACTAACTTAAACACGTTTGATTGGCCATTGAGTTTACCTGCTCAACAGAACAATAGAACAATTGAAAGAAGCTGCCTGTCAGCTGATACCAAATTGACTAGGTACTAGTACCACTGTTCCTGCAGAATGCCTGGTCAAATTAAATTTTTTACATTTCAGTACTGACTTGGTACCGAGTACTGTTACTTTTGACAATGCTACAAACAAAGCCTGAATGATGAAAAGTTAATTTAGAAGAATGTTGTAATTACTTATAAGACATAAAATGTGTTTCTTTAATCATATTTTAAAAACAAAACACCTTAATAGAAATATTCATAATTCTGCTCAGCTGAAAATATAGGATTATGTTTGATATGCTTTCACATTTGTATGAAAAATGTGTTTTTTAGAAATTCTCCATTTTATATTTTAGAAAATACAATAGAGGCAATAGTCTGGAAACAAATATTTTTCCATACTCTGTTTTCATTTTTTCCATACTTAGTAGTATTGCATCAAAACCCTGAGTATATTTACATTTGCATCCCAACTCAAACTCAGTGCTTTACTGTCAAATATCCACTTCCATAAAGCAAATTATATTAGTAGTAGTAAATTCACGTTTATAATGAAATACAATAGTAATTTTGTGCCTATTATCAGTTTCTCTCCCCTCCCAATTGTCCAGTGCTATCAAATCGGGTGCTGGGGACATAATTTGTTACTACTTTTTGGCTGCTTGCTAGCTGAGTCAAATGAGTCAAGTGAGCATATTCTCTATGACTTTCTGTTCCAGAGATATGATCTCACAAATTAGGTCTATAGGATTTTTGCCCACTAGACAAACATTGTACACTGATTGCTTATTTGACAACTTATTCATGGGTCTACAACAAATGGTGCAGGATAAGTTAGATGCCAAAATTTGTACGGAAAAGGAGAAGAAGAGGAGGTATCATTAATGTAAAAAGAAAAATAAAAAAAGAGAAAGCCAGCATAATAAGCTTAAATAGTAGATCAGTATGTTGGCTTTATGAAACCATCCTAAATACTAGACCTAATAAATTACCAGTATGAAATAAATACCAATATGCTTCTTATACATTATTACTGTATCTGAAGATTTAACATATGTACAATATAGCCTATTTCACATACAATAATATTTAACTTGTAAAGTACTTCCATTAATTTAATTTGTTTTACTTAAAAACATATAATAATAATAATAATAACAACAATAACAATAACACACACACACATATTATATATATATATATATATATATGAGATAAACTAAAATCATGGATCCAAGTAAAGTCATGCCAGATCTTTTTCTATAGGCCTATTTAATGTAATATTGAAACCAACATAATTTATATAACAAACAAATAAAAACTTTTAAAGAAAAAAATGAAGAAAGAAAATAGATTTGTGTTTGATCTTATTATCGTGCTGAAAGATAAGGAGGCCTGCAAGTTATTTGCCAAAATATTCTGATATTTAGCACTATCCTTCTATCTTGACTACAGCCCCATTTTGAGCTGCCCCTGAAGAGCCCTACAGCATGATTCTTGCACAACCTTGCTTCTTCATGGATATGGTGTTTTTTGGGCGATGAGCACTCTTGTTTTTGTGCCATACCTTTTAAAATTATAGACCAAAAGTTCAGTTTGGTTTTATAAGACCATAAAACATTTTGCCTGACATGAAAACATGAAATTTAGGCATGCTTAGATTTTTTTTCCTTTTCTTTCTTTCTTTTTCCATGAGTAATGGTTTCCATCTGGCCACCCTACCCCATAGCCCAGACATATGAAGAATACAGGATATAGTTTTCACACACAGCAGACATTCATGAACCTCCTTTAAAATGTCATGAAATTTGAAAGATTTGAAAAGAAGATTTGGAGAAAAAAAAAAACATCAAGAAATGGGTGTGTAAAGCTGTGGAAATGTGGGAGTGTGGGTGCAAAGTGAAGACAACAACCAATAAAACACAGACCTACAACACACTCACACCGAGTAATGAACTTTAACATGAAACTACAGAAACTACAGTTCCTTTTGCTATATTTTAAAAATATAACTATAACCCCTCTTATACACGCTCCATGTTGTTACCTAAAGCTGTAATACTACATCATTCATAATACAGTGCTGTGATTGGAAGTAGAGAGTGAATAATGCAGAGAAATGCAGAGACGCATACTCTCCAGCCACAGCAGCCAATCTTCACTCCGAGTGGATGCGGGTTACCTATGCTGTATATATATATACAGTGGGTACGGAAAGTATTCAGACCCCCTTACTAATTTTATTTAAGCAATTCAGAATTTGACAAACATAATCTAAATAAAATAAACACAAATTCTGTGAAAAAAAAAAAAAACTCTTCAAATCTGCGTATTCAGTGAATGGACTTATTAACACCGCCCATTTTCTCCACATTTGAAATTTACCAATCATATCTTTCCTCTAAATGGGCGGCGGGCCTCTGTAAGTTCCGCCGGCTGTGAGAATCTCTTGGAAAAATATATATATACGCTGATAAACTAACTAGCTATTATTCACGTCACGATGGAAGCTGCAAATAACGTAAGTGAGTAGGGCTGGGCAAAAATCGAATCGATTTTTCGATTAATCGTTTTTTTAAATGACGTCGATTCGATATCGATTCTCAAAAGCCGCGAATCGATCTTTTGTATTAAAACTATATTCACTGAATGTAATAAAAAAAAACGAGAATCGAATCGAATCGAGAGCTTGCGAATCGAAGTCGAATCGGGACATCTGAATCGATACCCAGCCCTATAAGTGAGTACATTTACTAGGCCGCTGAGCCAATAATAATATTATTTATTATAAACACTGCTTGTTTGTCATGAAGTGTCTGTCGCTAATTTGTTTTGTGTCAGCGCTGTCATGATGTGTTGTCTTAAACACATTACATTTGTTGGTTTTGAGTGATGGGAGGGAGTGTCTGTACGTTTTGCCCACTGAAGTGCAGATATTTGTAATGAGGATTTGCATTTGACTTAAATTTAGCTGTTTTATTTTGGTAATATCAGTCATTCTTCCTGTGCTGTTTTGTTGCGGTCGCACATCAAACGAGAAGCACAGTGGTGCCCCGGTGCAACACGTATCACACACTGAATGCGTCGCGTCAGCAAACGGGATGAGAAATTGCGATCTATAGCACAATGAATCACAGAATTTATTAGAGCCACAGAAAGAAAATTTTTTTGCTAAAAAATGCACAATACACAATCTTCCAACCCAGGATGAAGTCATTATGTACATTAACAATAATTTGGGACAAATATAATGTAATTTAATGGAAAATGATGAGAGTGGCGCTGAGGCGCGGCAGGATTATGAACAGCGCCCGGAGTCGGGATACGCATACAGTCATGGAAAACAATGTGTGGGAATTTTAAAGACGTGGTGCGGCGCGGTGCAGGGCTGCACGTGTCGTCCGGTGTGCGACCACCTTAAGGCTGGATAGCCTCTTGTTTCAGAGGTGGAATGGTCAAAGATGACTTTTAGAAGAGGACACCGTAAGCTAGGCCGGTAGGTTTTTTCCCCCAACGAGGGTAGGGAGAGAGGGCCTAGGCTCAAGAGTCACGATTTGCTACTGCTATATATATGTATGTATTTATGTATGTATATATGACCATAATTAGGGCTGCACGATTAATCAAATGCGATTAATCGTGATTGTCATGCACATTTTGTCAGTAAAGCCGGTTCTGTGATTAGTAGTAAATCTCCATCACCTGCTTTCAGGTGGAGCAGCATTTACTACACAGAGCCGTAGTTCTCTGACAAGCTACGCAAAATCATGTTCATAATCGCAGACGATATAATCGTAGGATTATGAAATCAACGAAATAATTTGCGATAATGACAGCTGTTTGCGTATCTTCTCAGTGAACTACGGCTCTGTGTAGTAAATGCTGCTCCATCTGAGAGCACGTGAAAATACCACATTTAATAACATGTTTTTACTCCAAACTCACTTCATAACGTCAGTCGAGTGTTTGAAATAAATTCTTCTGTGAGATGATGTGGCTTCTTACACAGAATAATTAAGGCACACAATATTTCATTGTATTCTAAGCAGTGATAAAGGCTATGTCGATTAGCATTTCATTATAGATATACTTTATGATGAAAATTATAATAATAAGAACTCAGATAAACCATATATTGCCGTAGTCGTGTGTTTATTAGTCACGTTGAATCAATGAAAGCAGTTAAATCTTCTGTTTATTCTAGTGAGGTTTCGTTCATGAACGAATCATTCTTTTTGAACGAATCTTTTAGGTGAATCTTTTCGTTCACGTAATCCATTGACACATATGTCTCGTTCACTGAAATTCCTCCCTCCAGAGCAGCGCATGTGCAGCTCGGTGAACCGGGTAGCTCTGTTGACTATTTCATCCTGTCAAAGAATGAGTTTGAGATTTGACAGAGCACGTGATTTGTTGTAGTGAACGAATATGCCCTTCACTGAACGAGTTTCTTTTGAGTCTGAACGAGATCGAGAGATCTTCTCGTTCGTGAACGAAATGACCGAACTGCTACATGTCGTTCGTGAACGAGTTGAATGAACTGCTACATCTCGTTCATGAATGAAATGACCGAACTGGTACATGTCGTTCGTGAATGAGTTGAATGAACTGGGACATCTCGTTCGTGAATGAAATGATGAACTGGTACATATCTCGTTCATGAACGAAATGAATGAGAGTGTACCGGGTTAGTCGGCCATTTAGCATGTCAATCTCGATCAGCAATCAGCAGAAAGCGGATGCAAAGTGCAGTTATAGGTACTGTGCACATACGCTTGTTTATATATTCATATTTAGCATACAGTACATAACTCCACGTTTAATCCCCGATTTATGAATGTTTAATTGTCTGACGAAACAATTAAAATGTTAATTATGCAAGAAAGCCTTGTGCTTTGGTCATCTGAACAACTTATTTAGACTTTATTTATTTAATTAGTAGATTATGCACACATTTTAATAAAGCCAAATCAGTTTTGTAACAAGTGAATACGTTCGTTGACTTAAGACATAACACATAATGCTGGGTACACACCATAAGATAATCGGGCCGAGTTTGGGCCGATTTCTCCCCTTCCGACAATCCTAGGTAATGTCCCGATTATCTTGGTGGTCCTAAAGATTATCTTATCAGATTTTCCTGTGGTGTGAGGTGTGTTAAGAGTGACTGAATCTGCTCGGAAGAACGTCGGAGGCGCCCCGATCGATCATTTTGGTGAACGAACTGAAAATGAACGAATCTCTTGAAAGAATCAAAATTCCCACCACTAGTTTATTCAGCTGCAGCGATAGGCATTTCCTGGATTTCTTCTTCGGGGCATATTCGGATTTTCCACGCAAGAGCGCCCTCTGGCCTTCGGATGGAGATTTACTACTGATCACAGAACTGTGTTTCACTGAAAGATACTCATGACAGTAGCAGCTTCTGCCTAATCGCGTTTCATCGCCTTTGCGATTTAATTTCGATTAATTGTGCAGCCCTAATATATACATATAGATATATATGTGTGTGTGAAAATAAAGTCACCTGAATTTAGTAGATTGTGTTTAACACATAAAAGAGTATAATTTCCACACACACAGAGATATAGAAATTCTACATTGATACGGGGACAAAAAAAAAAAAAACTGCGGTTTTGGATCAGTATTGGCTGGCACTCAGAATTTTTGGTATCAGGATTGAATTGGTTCTGGAATAAAAAAAATATATATATTGGTACATCCCTAAAGTGCACCAAAACAATCAACTGAAACTGCGCTATGCAATCGGCACACCCACTAAAGTGATGTAGAGCAGTGGTTTTTACACCTGGTCCTGGGAGCCCACCGCACATTTTGTATATATCCCTTATTTAAAGGGATAGTTCACCCAAAAAAGAAAATTCTGTCATTAATTACTCATCCTCATGTCGTTCCAAACCCGTAAAACATTTGTTCATCTTCAGAACACAAATTAAGATCTTTTTGACAGCTTTCTGACATTAAAGTAGTCCATGTGACATCAGTGGTTCAACCGTAATGTTATGAAGCTACTAGAATACTTTTTTGTGTGCAAAAAAACAAAACAAAAATAAGTATATTTAACAATTTCTTCTCAATGTCGGGCTTCGCTGCACATTCACGAGAGTACCACGACGTCGTCAAATATCTTAACTTGTGTTCTGAAGTTGAACAGAGGTCTTACTGGTTTGGAACGACATGAAGGCGAGTAATTTATTACAAAATGTTCATTTTTGGGTCAGCTATCCCTTTTACGTCACCTGATTCAGATCACCAGCTCAATAAGCGAGGGCTCCATGAACTCAGCGGAGTGTGTCAGACAAGAGAGACATACAAAATGTGCAGAGCAGTGGGTCCCCAGGACCAGGATTGAATACCTAAAATAAAATAAGAGTAAAATAAAATAAGATAAAATAAGGGGAGAGGGTCTAGATGTAAATTGAATTCCATGTGGTCACAGCAGAATCATTTAAAACACACATTAAACCAGGTGTAAATTGTAATGCGTCTCGGGCTGACAGCTTGTGATCGGATCAATGAAAATGTATCTCAATACCAGGTGAAAACAGGGCCAATGAGACCTTAATCTTTTGCAAGCTATTCACAGGCCATGGTTTCCGCAATAAGATGCTATCAAGAAGTTGCAAAAGAAATCCTAAATAAACATCTGATTTGTATTCAGGTTTAATCAACATAATTTAAATGATGACTGGAAGATTATAATTATTTTTAGTAAGAGTTGGAATGTAATTAGTTAATTCCAAACAGGGTAACATGCCCCATTATAAAAGGGTGTGCAACCAGGCATTTTGTCAGACTATTTGTCAGCTGAATGAATTTTGGAATTTTGTTGGTTTCAATATTACATTAAACGTGGAACAACGGTGAGCATGACTTTCAATACCCTCTGCATATAGGTTATGTCAGGACAGGACCATTTAAACTGTAAATTGTAAATCTGTTTTACAGTAAAGATAATTGTCATAAATTGCCATGGCAATAATGTCACAAACATTATTACATTGCAGGCTTATTATTATCATATTACAGGCTTTGTTACCTTCTTGAAGAATACATTTTGGAGTGAAATATGATCCAGACATTTCTTTTTAAAGTTCACCCATTAGATGTTTTAAAAATCTGTCACAATCCAGTATTAATATTATAACTCAAGGTTTTTGTTGTTGTTGATTGCTTTAAGTTTTGAAAAAAAAAAAAAAAAAACTTGACTACGTGACTATTGATTCCACTTCTCAAACACAACATAGGCTAAACATATTCAAGCTAGAGGAATAGTGAGCACACCAAAAGTATTATCATGTGGTTTTGGGTTTCCCTTTCACTTCAGCAGCCCTGCCCTCTTGCCACATGGCCTGCCTTTTGTCATACCCACAATGCCTCACGGTTACCTTTAAGCCACTCCTGAGGACGGCTCCTTTTATGATCGCATAGTCACCTGATGCAACCTTGAAGTGCAGCAGAGTAAATGTAATGAGGCACAAGGTCAACGCACATGCACACATAGAGGCGCACACAAAACCTTCCACCTAGTGATCATAATTCAGTATAATGCACAAACACAATGTAAATCTAGACAACGTCAAGGTCACTACAAATATTGATCAATCACCTAAATGTGAACCATCTGGCCTTCACAAGCTTCTTAAACAAGCATGTCTCTCTTTAACCACAATAAAATATCATAAACTTATATCTTTGAATTAGCATATGGTCTGTTAGCAAATAACATGTACATGTAGGCCTACTTTTCTTTCATAAAAAAAAAAGTTTCAAATACACGTATACATGCATATTGAACACATGTACATTTTAGATTTTGTAACTGGTCACCATTTCTGCACATGTATTATTCATCAAATTGTTTTATGTTATGTATAGTATTTTTGTCACCCTGATACCAACTGACATGTGAGGCACACATGGCATACAAATATGAAGTGTTCTGACACTAGAATTTTCTGTAAATATACCTAATAAACAAACCTCTACCTGTTTTGAAATGTCACATTAGCTTTAACAATATCTGTTTTTACATATAATTATTGATAGGCATTTTGCTACATACATGCTACATTAACACTACATTCTACTGCTACAGAGTACTGAATGGCAACCCATATGCGAGCACCTATAAACCAATACCAACAATCAAAAATAACAGGTCAGTACACCTTGACCAAGGCAAATCTGACACTGAAAGCGTTAAAATGCCCCAGATAATTGATCCTACATTATAAATGTTTTAACATTTTATTACGTAGTTTTAATCACTGAATGACCCGTGTTGACACTTTTTTTTACCCCTCTATATACACACACGGGGGTGAACGGTAACTTCTCTTAGTCATCTGTAACTTCAAACAGGCGGATCCCATATTAGTGAGGTTAACCTGCACGCAGACACACCCAACATCACCTACAAGATTTATTTCAAACACCATAGCTATCCCAAAACTAGCGAACAACCTATTAAACATCATACGGGCGTACTTTTAGCCCAAAATGTTGTCTAGGTATACAGCACTCTAGATTTGACACACAGCCAGTTTCCCTCCTAATGTGGCCTGTGAACGAGCTTCGTTGTTGCATCTTTGCGAGATCGAGCAACTTCACACACAACTCGACCACAACACACTTACTTTTCGTGGCAACAAAGCAAACGACAATTCATGTTTTATCAGCAAATGTCGAACGGCTCGTGGAAATAAATACGCCTTGAAGAGAACCACTGCGAAAACATCACATTACGAGACGATAAGCCCGAGATAATGCAACAACTCGAAGCGTTTGTCGACATTAAGCAACTTCAAACGCAGCAATACATACCAGCTGTTCAAAGCACTCTAAGAAAACGCGTTGACATGTAGGCCAGTTGCAACTTCCAACCCGTCCACTCCGGCTCGAGCGAGAATAAACGTACACTCAGCGCGAGCGCGTTGGGTTTATTCCTGGAAACTTTGTTTCTGTCCAGCGCTAGTCTGCACGGCAGTAACTAGGCGCCATGTTTGTGTTTTGTTACTTTGGTGCGCTCTCGGGTTTCTCGGGCTGACTGCTTGGAGGCGGATGGACCCGCCCATGAATGACTCGCTGCTCCACATTTCCTCTCTGCACATCATAACGCCCCATATCTACAGACTAGTGCGCGCCATGCTTAACAGGTGGCTGGTATAGTTTTTCCTAACCCACAAAACATACAATTATACTTTTTCTCAGCATATCAATGTTTGTGGTTCCTGATTGTACATTTGCATAAATAAGTCAAAAGAAAACCCAAATATAAAAGACGGTTTGCAAATAAAATGCTCTTTATTACAAAACATGAACAAACAATATTTCTGGCCAATATTTACCCTTAACAATTAGTTTGTACATACTAAAGTTTAGTATAGATGTAAGAATTTACATGGTTCAGACAAAATTAGTGGCATTAAAATGTTTTAACGTACTTGTTAATTAGGCTGATCAAAATCACATCAAGCTGCAAGTGAAATTCATGGCAGACACATTTTGCATCATACTAGTATGTTTAAAAAAAAAAAAAAAAAAAAAAAAAAAAAAAAATTTTTTTAAATGTTTTTTTTTTTCGGCTTGGACGGGGGATGTCACCTTTTTCACCAATGATGAGTTTGCATCCCTGTGTCTTACAACCCGTATACTGATGTATGTCCTCACAATAGTTTAGCAGATAGAATCTTAGTAAATACGTACACTGAACAAAATTATAAATGCAACACTTTTGTTTTTGCCCCCATTTTTCACACATAA